TTATGTTTATTTATTGCAACCCACCACCAATATTTGCACCCTCTAAAAGAGGTCTTAACTAATAAGATACAGCCCCTCACTTTCTCTCCTTTATCCCTATCTTCTGTCCTGCCCCTGGTGTAATAAGTAATTTTCTATACAAAATAGTGCAGGTTGAATAGGTACAAAAGAAGATGGTCCTCCTTAGCACAACCAATTCTCTTGGGCTATGGGAACAGAGGCTCAAATGCTGTCTCTGAAAGTGATATAATTGTAGCTAAACTTATCACCAGGAGATATATGTGATTGGGCATTAATGAAATTTAACATAGAGAATGTCTTGTTTGAGGAAGTTTCAACTCAAATTTCAACTTAAACCATGACTCTAAGGTGATGTTATGTGCAGTAACATTTTGACAGCCTGAATTTCAGTTAACATACAAATGAAAAAAAAGTAAATGAAATGCTGCAGTACAGGATGTCTGAGTTACATGAGGGATGGGTAAGAACAGCAGAAGATTCATAATAAGCCAAAAGAAGAGATGTTGAGAATTCTGAACAAATTATATCATTTAGGGTGTGTGTAAAGTAAAGTGATGCTTACTGACTTGCAAAAATCTTTAATGAATATAGAACATATTAGTAAGAATATATCCTGAAACTAAAAAAAATGTGGATTTTTAGGATGGGATTATCAACAAAAAGTAACTGTTTTTGAACCAAGCTGTTTCAAAAGATTGTGTCATCCTGAGCCTATAATTCATAATGATAGACAGTGAATGCACAATTTACAAGGAGATATCATAAAAAATATGTCAAGTCTAAATGAAGCTTTATGCATGCTCAGAAATACCTTGAGTGTTAGAACATTTTGAGTAAGCTCAGCTGCTAGAGCAATATTGCTCCAATCAGTGCTGTGCCATCCCACTGCACACCATAGCAACACTTAGGATAAGTTATACAAATGCAAAAGGAATGCAGAAAGAGAGCTGAAAGTTCCTAATTCATAAAACAAGTGTAATTTAAGAAACAAGGTTTTGTTTGGGATATAGAATGATCCCTACAGAGGAAAGACCATTTCCCTGTTGGCATGCTCCAAGCTCTGTTTGCAAATAGATAATAACTGGAGTACTTTCAGTTCAGTGCTGAAGACTTGAAGACTGTCATTTCAGAAGGCTTTTGGGAGTAACCTTTTCTCACTTTGATCCCTCTGAATCCCTTCTATCCTTTTCTATTTGATCTGTCTTAGGCCTATATTTTTTTTAATAAGTGCTTAGGAACACATGAAGAGATGAATCACTTACAAGTACAACTTTCAGTCAATACTCAGTAGGTAACTATGCTGGTTTCATAATGCTTCCTCAATGGAAGTGATCTAATCCAGCTCTAAAATGGAAAAGCCATTTCTTTCTGAGCCATGAGCTATCTGATAATGAAAGAAGGGCAAAGAAATAGAGATTTATGCGTGAACAAGAAATCCATCCTCAGAAATAATTGTCATCCAATTTTATGTCTTGAGTAATTTCAGTGATCACATGTCAGCACTTTCATTAGCCCAACTGTTAGCACAAGGCAGTAACAAAATATTATAACTATTCTACTGTTTGAAAATGGGTTTGGTCCCGTGGACATCAATGGTAAGGTTTCACTTTTGCACAAGCTAATTCAGGTTGTTAAACAGCCATGAGCAAGGTGTTTGCATTGGATTTATCTAACTTTATTTGCACATCTCTGTTTCTAGTGCACTGTGTGACTGGATGCATCTCCAGAGTGTGCTTCATTTCATTCTGAGCTTATGGCTAAAAGAGGTGGCAGGAATCACCCTCTATCCCCTGACTATAGTGAAGCCTCAATCACAGCCTTGACTTGCTGCCTAACTTTTAGATTACTAAAGATGAATGATTTCTGTAGAATACAAATCCAATTGCAACAGCATCCCAGCCATGTCATTGTAACATTCATTTCTTCACACAGCACATGCTGGTTTTAGCTAGCATAATGTCAGTTTTCTTCATAGTAGCTGACATGGGCCTGTGGTTTGGATTTGTGCAGGAAACTGTATTGATAATTCAGGGATGTTTTTTTCATTGCTGAACAGTGCTTGCTTAGAGTCAAGACTATTTCTTCTCCTCACCCCATTCCCACAGCAAGGTGGGAATATCCCACCAGAGGGATATCCCAGATCATATGGCATCAGGCTCAGCATATAAATCTGGGGAAGAAGGAAGGGAGGATGTGCAAAGTACTGTTGTTTTTCTTCCCAAAACACCATTAAATGGGATGGAACCTTTATTTTCTCGGGATGTTTGAACACCTGCCAGGCCATGGGAAGCAGTGAACGCACACCTTGTTTTGCTTTGCTTATATGCAGTTTTTGCTTTACTTAATAAACTTTATCTCAACCCATGAGTTTTCTCACCTTTGCCCTTTCAGTTCTCTCCCACCAGGGAAGAATCAGCAAGCAGCTATGTGGGGCTGAGTTGCCAGGTGGGGTAAACCGCTACACAGTCAAAGGCACAGATGAGCAATTTTCATATTCTCTTTGGTTTATTCAAGTTAAAAGAGACTAACAGAGATTATTTGATGTGGCAGAGAGAAAAAGTCTGTATTAGAAAAGCAACCAACAGTAAGACAAATGTATTGTATTATGTATTTTTTTGCTTACTAAGAGGAAGATCTTCAGCTCATCCATTGATTGGCTCCTAGTGGTAACAATTATATTAACAGTATTTCTGATGATATGTAGTGTAGAGAGTTATGTCAGTACATCTCACTGGTAAAGTACATCATTACACTTGGTAAAACTCTGTAGACAGGGAGAAGTTTGGTAATAAGTCAAGTTAGTAACTTTACATCAGTAGCATATCTCTAATTAACCACTGAATGACTTCCAAGTTCTGCAGATGGAGTCAACACTAAAGGGATCTCTCCATCTCCCATTGTTTATTTTATTACCAGGGAGAGGTAGCATAATGTAACTCGACAGTTGTGATAAAGGCCAAAGTAAAAGAGAACCTAAGAAGGGATATTGGAGGTTTGGTTGGGATAGAAGAGTTGATCAATTTGTCTGTCAGACACATGCCAAAGTAAAGTGCTGTGATCAAGAGGTGATATATGAGGGACTTATGTCACAGATTTATGGATTCAAGTATAAATCTTTGAAATACAATCATAAATGCTTTATATATCTCTGGGGCAAATATTTTCTTAGCTCTGAAATGAATATCAATTAAAGCACATGAAGAGGGAATGGGAAAGGGAGTGGTTCATCATAGAGGTGTAAGTTGGTGGAGGATCTAATGACAGGATTATCTGCAAAGCACACTGTGCTTTGCTTTCTCCATCAAACCCTAAGAGGACAAAGCCAAGCCCAAAATCTAAGCACAGACAATGGAGCTTCTGCAAGAGTAGCAGCATCAAAAGCAAGTGGAGCTTTTTTAAATGTGTGTTGTAGCTGGTTAAGCAGGTAACTAAGATTTTACAGTCTGTATCCAGAGAAGTGGGTCTGATATCTTCATTGTGAATGTCCCATACCAAGATGTTGTTCAAGATCATGCTGGATGGGGCTTTGTGCCACCTGGTCTAGTGGAAGGTGTCCTTGCCCACTGCAGGGGGGCTGTGAATAGATGATCTTTAATGGTCCCTTCCAACCCAAACCATTCTGTGGTTCCATGATTATGGCCCTGTTGGGGGTTTTAAGTTGTTTTGGATGGTCAATAATTGAAAAATACATGTCCCTTAGTCAGGAAAGGTAGGAAGAAAGGAAGGTAGAATCATTGTGTGGACTATTTTCTTCACATTTTAAGGTAGTCTTAATTAATACATATATTTATCAAGTACAGCATTCATTTTCATATTTTTATAAATGGAAATACTTTGTAATTTCTTCTTCAAGCATATCACTACAATGAAGAGGAAGATTATGTTAGAAGCTGTCCTAGCCATAGAACCTACTGAAAGGAATGTACATCTCCTACCAATCCAGAAATATCTGGATGTGCCAAAAGAGAGAAACAGTGTAACACCAAGAGAATTAAAATTAGCTTACTGCTAATAAAATTAGCTTACCTTGCTGGTAATAATTAGTGATTTTCTTGTTCTGAAGTCAACTCATCAATATGAGATGGGAAAAAAATGGCTACATGACAGTGAAAGTAAATAGTGTTTTCTTCAACAGTAGTATTTTTGATCTGTAAAACACATGGTCTCATCACTAGATGTACTCAACATCAGCCACAACTACTTTCCAATCCATGCTCCCATAACACACACAAATGTTAGTACTGATACTTCCTTAAAACTACCATTGCTTATTTTTCCTCTCAGTAAACATCATTTTTTGATGTAACTTTATATTAAAAAAACCACTTTAGGGCCTATGCTCAATATTCTAAAAAATTATCTGTAAATATTTTGGTTTTGGAACAGCACAAGAGTAACTTAAAGGCTCTGAAGTATAACACTCTTTACCCAAGTCCCTAGGGATAAAAATGATCAAAATCAAGTTCTGTTTTTTAAAGTGTGCATTCTGCTTTTGATGTGATCTACAGAGAAAGCAGGCTTTTAGAAATGATGCAAGCTGACAATTGATGTCTAGCTTATTGACATTTAGAAGGGTAATTGTTTGCTGGCAGCTTGTCCAGAAGAAGTTTCCAAAGCCTCAGTGTGCACATCACCCAAAGCTCTCACTGAAGGCCAATCTTCAAATGTCACTGTAGAACATAAACAGATAAAAGGTTATCCTAATTAAAGCTGTGATGACATAGTTCAAGACTATTAAAAAGAGGAAAAGAATTATTAAAAAAGTAGTCTAAATAAAATCTTTAGTAAGAGAGGGGGCTTTTGTTGCTGGTTTGTTAGGTTGGGTTTTTTTAAATTTACAAACAAAATATTTAAGAGATACTATATATAAAATATATTTTTTATCAAGTACATTCATTTTAAATTGTATTAATTCTCATTTTAAATAGCTTTTTCTAAGCTTTTAGAAAAGGATTTTTCTTTTTGTAAAATTTTTACAGGTCTTGCAGGAATAACTGAGATCATGGGGAGCACCAGAAGAGGCCACATGAAAGGTCATGTGGAAGATTAAAACAGTGCCAAGAGGAGTACTGGCAGCCTCTCTTCTTATTCCTGCTGTGTTGAATTCCCGTTTGGTGAGAAATAAAATCTTACTACTGTGTACAAGGACACATCTGCCTTATCATTGCCATCTTGTCACAAATACTACTCCCTTTTTCAGCCCCCAGGAACTGTGTGAAAGAAATTGTTGTGTTATGATATGAGGGTACTGTATATGAGTTCTGCCAACTTGAAAATTCAACATATATCTAATGACTTAAAGAAGCACGGCCTGAACAATAAGAAGCACTGGGGAAGATCCATTGTTAGTGAATCCACCATTTCCTGAAGTTCCCCACTATGGACAGCAATATTTGGCTGCTTTTCGCTTTATGTCTGAGCAACTCTGCAGAAAGGAGTTAGGGAACATCCTGTATGGACCTATTGATTTTTTTAAAAAATCTTGCATTTTTAAAACAAGTCTTATGCAGAGCTATGAGAATCACTATAAATTCTGTACATTTTTTCATGGCAGTCTCTCCTCTTCCCCCTCACTGCTACCCAGTGACTTTCTGTATGTCTCATTACACATTGTTGCACTTCCACCAAAGGGCTGCTATTGCATGAACTGAAGGTTTGGGAATTTTGTTGTCATATAATTGGCATACTGGTGTTAGCCCTGAACAAGCCATAGGAGAAATTAAGAAGTTCACAGGATAATGCCTAGCAACTCAAAAAGGGAACAAAGATGACAACACTCACTACACCAAATTTTCACATGAAGGTAGTTGCTGTCAATCCCTCAGCATGACTGACTGGTGTAGCACCCACATTTAGAAGAATTAGAAATGTAAATGTAAGTTGCTTTCCTTTCATATACCATGATAAATTGTAATTAAAATACCAGGCAGGTCAGCAGTGCATAGACTAATTAATTCCTCATCACTACAACCTCACCATGTGGTGACTCAACAAGAACTCTTTCTGCACTACAGCCATTTCCCCCAAGGACAGTGCAAGCACAGAACATTGCTCTGTATTGAGTTAGAGAACAGGATGCAAATACATGTACAGTTTCTGCTGGTATTTTAGCTCTTGAACACATTCCTCAGTGTATACCCTTGAACAGAATGGAAAAGTTACTTCAAAGGAGCAGAAGATGAAAAAATAATTTTTGAAGTGACCTGAACTTAGGCTTCAAAATCTACATGCTCCATCTTTGAGCTCTAGTTGCATTCTGAAGAGTGTGTTGTTAGGGACAGACATAGTGCCAGTTCCCAATCTTTAATTAATTATTTTAAACATATCCAGTGTAGGACAAACTGCCCTTCCCATTCTCAGCATAGAATACTGTGAGCAAATATGTCAATACCTTCTTTCCCTGACCCCATCTCTCTGCATCCTGTCAAGACTTCCTCCTCCAGAATTGTCATCCATGTCCTGCCCCATGCATTTTCCCATTCTGTTCCCCCAGATGTGATTGAGATCTCCCACAGCTTTACCTCTTCTCCACAGAAGAATGCTGCAATGCTTTCTTCTTGCACTCCACAAACCCTACCTACAGTGCCCTGACCCTGTAGGCTGCTGATTACAGAGGTGCCTTGTGCCTCTTCAGCCTGCTGCTCTCTGAACCTGGTACTGCTGCTCTGTCTCTTCCCTTTGGAAAACCTTCATCTCTTGGTCACCCACCTGCAGCATCAAGGCAAAGAGGGCTCAGCAGCAGCAAGAGCACAGTGCCACTCTGGGGGGCCACCCCAAAACCCCAAAACAAAGTTCTCTCAGTCTTCCTAAAAAGTATATATTCACCTTCTTCATCTATGAGGTTAATCCATGGCATTAAGTAAGCATGAATATTACATATTTGTAGCCATCTTGCTTTGCAGGTGAAAACTGAACTGAAAACTGATTTCAGAACTTTGTCTTCCTGCTGAAAACTCTTCATCCTCTCCCTCAAAATGCAGACTTGCTTCAGATCTGTCAGCTATGTTTTTATGGACCTTTCTGTATCCTGTTTTGGCTCTAGGATTCACAACTCTTTTTTGCCAAATATAGGTCTGCTGCCTACACAGCAAGAAAACATTTGGAGATGTGACATAAGAGTCAAGATAGGAAGGTGTTTAAAAAGACTATGAAATTATGAAGAGAAAATATGGCCAACAAGACCTGTTCATGTAAACTAGTGTATTGATTTGTGTTGGATTAGACAGCCCACAATGAAGGTAAATTGCTCATCTACTAGCTTTTATTTCCATGTAAAGATAGTGTGAGTATAGCAGGAGGAATCCTGTGCTATCAGGTAAGCAGCCAATCTCACAATAAATGTAAGACAGCATTCCTGCACGTCTTATTTAGAAAAAAAGAGAAGAGGTAGTGAGCTTATGTCAGTGATAAGTGTAGAAATGAGTGCAAAGCAGGTTTGTAGCATGGTTTCTCTGCAGATTTTGCCATGAGTCTGAATTAAAGCAGAGCATTACCATTGCCACAGTTTTAACTGGGTTTTGTGAGTGTATGTGTGTGTGTGTGTGTGTGTGTAGTTTCTTCTCAGAAGCTGGTCTAAAAATATTTACAACTGCTTCTGAAGAATGAATCAATTATTCAAGGAATTCAGACTTTCATAAATTGTAATAACAGTTTAGGGACTGACTCCAAACCTGTTGAAAGCGGTTACTAGTTTCCATCTAGTATCAAAAGAATCTGGATAAGCATAGAAAGATCCTCTTGAAAATATATATTGCTATTGGTTTTATTAAACACTTCAGAAGAGGTAAAATCCTTCCCTTAATCCCCTACTAAACTGAAGTGAAAACTATTTCATACATTACATGGAAATTTATTGACTTTACAGAAAGGCAGAAAGGTGCCTTTCAAAAAGCCACACTTTTGCATGCCATTTCTCCTGTCAGATCAGGATAGGAAGAGGATGAGGGAGATCTGCAGTGCTATTAAAAAGCTAGGTATAAAAGAGATCAGTGAAATGGCAGAATAATTAATATGACCATTATCTGTACTTAATTTGGCTAGCCTAACACCTTAATTAATAATTCAAATTAATTTCTTCTTCAGTGATATTTCTCAGGAAATATTTATTCTGCACATGCTAAAATCTGCCACCTACACAACTTCAGCAAAACCAATATCGTGAATAAAAATATTCCATTCTCTCATAGAGGGTTAGCAACAGAGGCTGTTATTAAGCTTGCCTGGCACTTTGCATTATAAGACTCTGCTTCCAATTACTTATAACTGTGTTAGACTCTCATTCTCATGGTTGCCTGCCAGGTGCTACTTCAAGATGACATTTGGAAAGTTTCATTCAAAACAGTCAATTATGAAATTAAGACAGGCAAAGAAGATTTCCTTCACTGAAAGTTTCACAGGAATATTGTTCTAGGAACAATTGTTCTTTTAAATTAAGACTTCAGTTAGCAGAAAGTCTTTCAGTACTTGAGCAGATTTGCATAGAAAGTTGATGGAGTCAGTCTGACACTACTGGTCACGTACTTCAGCAGTGAGAAGCCATTTTTTTAAAACAATCTTTAGACTGTCAAATCAGAGATTGTGTGGTCTGCCATAAGATTTTTATTACAATGGGGTACTTTTTGTCCACAGAGATCACATTCCCTGAGATTTATACTGCTTTCATTTTACAATTAGGTGCCTTTCTGTGCACAGGTGAAATGGGAGCAGTCCAGATGAACTGACTGGGCAATAGCTCTTGCTAAATTCAACCCTGGGTGTTTGGTTTTCAGATGTGTCCCTTTCCTCAGGGTCACTGCAGGGTTCTGGCCCAACATTTGTAGTTGAGAAGTACAAAAACATTGCTAAGCAAACCAAATTACCTCATAAACAGTTGTATATGAACCTGATCAGCAGGAAAAAATTGTGGCATGTTTTCATATGCACACACTGCAAATGCTCAGACACCCTGCATGCCTCCGCCCACACTGGCCTTTTGGAGTAAGTAACCATGCCCTCATGGCCAATTTAGAACATTGCATAAGCACACAGAAAGAGAAAAACCTGTGGGAATCATCCTTATCTGGATACCAGGCATTTTCATAGGTATGTACATCTTCCCCTACCAACCCTCAAAATCAGGACTGTGCTTACAGGCCCAACTCTGGCTGTGCTCTGCTCCTGTCTTGGCCTTTCCAGCCCTGAGGTTTCACTTTTCTCTCCATGTGTCCTGAGCAGCGCAAAACTCCCCCTGTGGTCAAGGCTGGCAGGCTGGGCAGCTGCGAGGGAGGACCACGTGGGGAGGAGGGAAGAGCAAGGAAGGCTTGTCACTGGATTCACACTGAGGACATCTGCTTTGCCCCCTTCCTAATCACCAGGATCTGGCAAGGATCTTTGCCTCCCCCTCTCACAACCACAGCTGAGGCATAATGACCCACACTCTGTAAAATCTTCTGCATTTGCAGGGCTGCAGTATATCCTACTCTGGTGAGGTTTTCTGCTGTTGAGAAGCAACAGCTCTTGAAATCAGGTGAGGTTATTCTCCAGGGCTTTTCTTTGGCACCATGGACAAAGAGGATCCTCACAGCACCTCCTGCCTTTCACAGTCCCTTCTTCAGGCCTCTAGGCTAGCTCTGCCAGCTGTCTGGTTTCATAGTAACTCAGGAAGGCCAGGAGATGGTGGGATATGAGAAACCAGCAATTTATTCTAAATAATAATAGTGGGCTTTAAATGCAGATCCCTAATATCATGTTATAGGAAGAATTTTAGGATGTTGCACTGAAGTGTAACATCTAACTCCTTTTTTAAAGTGCTCTTCACTCTTTCCTGTCCCTGGAAGAACCATCAGATCAACCCTGACTGGCCTGACCTCTCTCACCATCAGTGCTGGATAGAGCGTCTGAGGGTAGGGGCAGCACAGTGCCTGCCCCAATATACTGGCCAGCTGTGCAGAAGTCTCCTTTCTAGAGAAACCTCATCTACAGAGAATGAGCACCAAACATGTTGGATCCTCCCAAAGCAATGACAACCAGTGTGTGTGGAAGATAATCAAGTTACAGGGATGGAAGGTCTGACAAGGAGAGGATACGCTGGGAGCTGCAGGTGAGAAAAGCTTGTGAACCTCAGGGGTTGCCCAAACTTACACTGAAATGCAGTCACAGATCATTCTGAG